TGAGATTGCTGTATTATTCCCTTGGGATGGCAAGACGTTGTCTCTCTTGATTTGGACATGTCATCAGAGGTCAGTGGAAAGGAGGGAAGTCCTGAACGAGATGGGTTTCTACAGGCTACACCAATGGGCTCCATCAAACACAGGGCTGGCAGGGAGGATAGGCAAGGCCCGGAAAGGGTTAAATCCGGTGGGCAAGGGGCCTGGAAATGAACAAAAGGCAACCCGCAAAAACCGTGATAAAATGAGCAGTTGTTGGGTAGTAGCTTCTGTGAGCTCTGAGACCTGTCCCAGCACATTAAGAAACCAAGAGACTGTGTCCCTTTCGGTTTTGAGTTTGGACTTGGCCTCTCGTGGGGAAGGTCTGCATGAGAGAGTTTCATGTGGGTGGCCTGTGTCAGAAATGGTGAAGTGAGAAGGTGGGGGTACACTGTAATTGAACTTCGCTCATGGGAATCAACGTCATGCTGACTCTCATCTACAAACATCATCGTCGAATCACAGTACTCGAGATGTAGGAAACCCTCCATAAATCAGAGTCGTTTTTATCATCCGTCCCTGTCAAATAACAATTCATGCTGTTTCTTTGCATCTCTTATTTAAATGGCCGGTAGTCAAGGAGCTTGAGAGTCGGTGTCCAGTGAACGTTCTCGGAGCGTTCTTGGGGACATGTCTACCGCACAGCTGAGGCAGGGTGCCGCTGTCCATCCTCCTGTTTCTGCCAAGCCCTGGGCCCTGCTGGACTGTTGAGGGCTCCGTGGCGAGCTTCCCCGGATCCAGCCTCCAGCTCATTAGCCTCGAGCTTTTCCTGCGATTCTACATTTATCACCGGAGAACGGAGATTAAAGAATGATATGAAGTATGCCTGGCTGTCTCTTTTCATTAATTTAGAGACTTTGCCCTGTTGCGCCTCCCCTTGCACACCAGTGGAAAGCTATTATGTCATCCTCGAAGCCTGGAAAATTCGTTTACATGAGCGTGTTATGGAGATAATGGCTGTGTAACTACTCCTCTGTCCTGAAATACTGTGTTCTGAGTTTCACGGGGTGCGAGTCCAATGTCTTAGAAATATAGCTTGCTTCTCACTCCATCAGCAGACTTCTTGTTCAGCTCCTCCTTTGTCAGACTCGGCTCAATGCTCTGAATAGTTAGTAAAATAGGATCCCTTGCTAAGAAGACCAGTCAAGCAGGGAAGAAATAAAAGCACATGGGGCCAGTGACTCCTTAGCATCTCCCTTTTGCTGTGTGTATACATCTAGTTACTGTACTTTGGGCATTGGGCATTTTTGCTTGCTGGTTAGCTCCTTGCAGTCTGACTGCCAACTAGTCAATTCTGAGTAGTAGTGACCCTTTAGGACAGTATAGAACTGCCCCTGGAGTTTTCCAAGACTCTAATTCTTTTTTTTTCTATATTGTGAAATATTTCTTTTCTTTTTTAAAAATCATTTTATTGGGGGCTCGTACAACTCCTATCACAATCCATACATATGTGTCAAG